AAATATAAATTTGAATTTGTATTTGATTTAATTTTCAAATCAAATATTCAAATGTCAAATCGAATTGCGGAACCCTACTAACTGTTATCTAGTTATATTATGTGAAAAAAAATTCAATTCGAAAAATTATATCCCACCTGGCCGAAGGTGATTTGCATGAGCATTTTTCTAATTATATCTTGAGAGATATGATCTGCTAAGACATCACATTTTTTGAATATCTATAATAAAAGTGAAGATGAAGTTTTAAGAATATTAATATCAAAATTATCTCGTATAAGTCATTTTATCTGCTAATACATCAAGAGAGATGGTTCGATTTATGGGAAAGGATGCATGAGTGATTTAGGATGTGCCAGATATTTTAATGCCCTTCCTAGAATAATATACCCTATCTATAAGAAGGGAACCTATTCCGATACTGGAATCTGTAACATATATGATGGAATTTATGACCGTGCTTGATGCGAAAGTAAAAAACTAAAACAGAATCTAATATGATCAAGACTTAGCTGAATAACGATCTGGGCTGAAGTTTATTTGTCCTACCCTATAGAATTAAAGAGTTCCTGAATATTATTATCTGTTTTTAGCTTATATGGTAGAAGTTCTGGTATGCCTTTATCTCCAAAACTAGTACCATTATATGGCTAGTGATTAATTTGATATGAGTATTGCCAAATTTGTTGACCTTTAGGCCCTATTCTTTTTTTATCACTTTTAATAGTATAGCTACACCAATTACCAGCGATTGCATTGATTACTTTTATAACTGATTTAAGATCTGGCTTTTCTTTTGCATGAGACTTAAAACCAAAGAGTAATAAAAATTGGTTTTGAATTTCTATAAACCTTTTACAAGACCATGTAAATGATTTTAATGCAGTATCACCAGAAAGAATACACCTGTCATCAATGCCAGTAAAGTCTAGTATTTGAAAAAGTTCTTGTATAACTTCCCAATGATTTGCTGAATAAGATTTACACAAGTCCTCTGCTACTGATTTTTCCAGATTCTCTTTAGCTTTATAGCAAGCAATTTCCCATTGTACATTTTCTTCAGCTTTCAATCCCTTTATTGCGTTCTTCTCATCATGATCTTGCCTTCGAAAATAAGACAACCGTAAGAAATGCTTCTGAGCTTCAGGCGAACTAAAATTTTCAACGAATTTTTTATTGCAAATATTATTCTAATCCTCAATACTCATGTCTTTGCAATAAAAATTCTGCATATAAAAATGTTTAAGTCCCATGGTATCTGCGATAGAACACTCTTGATCAAATTTAAGGACTTCAGCTTCTTCAAGACTAAGATTCTGGGAAGTAGCAACTGCGTTAAAATCTGTATACTTGATAACTAATGCTTCAACCCTAATCTCATTTTGAACCCTTTTACAATTCCCTATAACTCCTTAACTCTTATCCATTTTTATAAGTTGGAGAGAAGCGCATGTACTGGCTATAAGACTACAAAGCTTTTCAATAAAATATCTTGCAGAAAGAGATGCTCGACTTCAATAAAAATTATTACAGCTGGAGACTCATCAACTTTATAAGAAATGGTATTATTATTTCATTCACGATGTACCTTTATTGCTATGGGTATCTGATAAAATATAGAAATAATATGGTGAGAATAATCACAAATTCGATAAAGCATTTGTGCAAGAACTTTGACGTAAACTTGAGTGGTGATGTTTGTAATAGCTATAACTATATTAAAGTGACCTGTAATCTCAAATGATATTTCTGCCTCCACTGTATTTGTATAAGCTATATAGTCAAGCTCACTTCAAGCAATATTAATATCAGAAAAGTCTTTTTGTCTCTGTTTTCCATCCATATTCCCATAATATGTATGGGCTCTAACAGGTGAATTATCAGGCTTAGACAATTTAGATGCTTTTTCTACTAATACTTTAGCCATCACTGCTCCAGTAGATACAAATGCCACACATTTGCCTTACCTTAAAAGATCATATCCTATTTGCATGGCTTCTGCTCCACTATTCAGATCATAAATAAATTCAACCGTCTTATCTATACAAGGCTGGTATCCATTATCAACAATATGAATGTCTTCATCACGATATGCCTTAAGGAATGCTAATGTAGATTTATTCGCAAAGGCATCTATAGCTAAAATATGCCTTGCAGATTTTAAGACATCACGCATTGCATTTTCAGATTTTCGTGTATTTGTATCATTAGACATTTGACGCATAATGGCATTAGCTTCATCAAGAATAGCTACAAATGAACGAACTGTAAATTTGACATGAAAGAGACTCTCAACCTGTACTATGATAATATCCCACTCATTTATAGATAGGTCTTCTTACATATTTTGGTAATTGCAAATTCAAAAACCTAATGATTTTAAATCATCGAGTTTTGCTTTTGATTCATTGCTAAAAAACATTTGGTAAGAAATCCAGATAAAGTATGGCAAAGAAGAAATATCATGTACTTTATCTTTCAATACCATAATAATCTCTCTTAATGCAGTGATTTTTCATGTTCCTAAAGGAGAACGAATAAGCATTGTCAGTTTATTAGTACTCAAGAAATCAGAATATACTTCTGGAGAGTCCCTTAACTTTTCTACATTAATAATCGTCTCTGATAATCTTACAAGAGAATGTGAATTTAATATAGCATTGCTTATTCTTTCAACTATTTCTCATTTAGGTTTTGCAGAAAATTTAGTTGCTTCTTCAAATATCAATCCTTTATGATCTAGTTTGTATTACTTTGCCAATAACATCTAAGCATAAAGCTTTCGCTACTAAGAAGAAAGCCATATAACTAGTCTTTTTCGTGTTTGATATTGCAAATAGGGCATGTTTCTAATGACTGAGCTTGAAAGTTGACAAATCCCTTTCTAATATTACTAATCTCAAGCCATCCATATTTTGCGGTAACCAAATCAACTTCCATGCTTAAGGCAGTTTTATCTTCAATAGGTTGAAACTCCTCTCTTTCTGGCTTCTCAGGAGAAAAAGTTTGTGGTCAGATTTTAAAATAATTAGATTTAGGCTAAACTAAATAATCTTTTAACTTGTAATATCCTTTCTTGACTGAAGAAATTGCAGGTCTTTTAACTCTATCTTCCTTCATCAATTTAAGGAACCGAAGACTAAAACGTGATTTGTAAAGTCCTATATCAATAAATTCTGAGTATGGTTTTCTAACCCTATTGATAACTTTTTCTACAAAACTTTTAAGGTCTCTGTAATCAATAAAACAAGTATAAGGATATATGATATGCTAACTGCATTTATCAGCATTAGATGAACTGGCTAAAGTAAAAGTATTTAAAGATACAAGATGTTTTAAATCAGAGTATATAATATCAGCACAGGTGATTAAGATTCTAGATAATAATCTTTACAAGAATTTTATATTTATCTAAGAAAGGGAGTTCAGGATTCATAAAATCAGACTTTTGCCTCACATCAATATCCAGAATCAGACAAAGAAGCAAATTCTTATCAATGCATTCATGAGCATCAGGTAATCCATAAACTTTGAATGGATGATTGACTAACTCAAATTATATATTTATCAAAAATCTCTTCAGGATGATAGGTGCTTAGAAGAGAGATATCATTTTTATTATTAGACAAATATTGAAAGTATATATGATCATTATAATCAGACTCATAGTCAAAGCCTGCTAACCCTGAAAAGAGCCTGATTTATACATGAAGTCGAAATGAAAACCTAAAAGTCGAAATGTTTCGACTTTGGAGGTCAAAGTCGAAATGAAAAGTCGAAATGGTCGAAATTACGTCATATCACA